TGAGCACATCATAGATTATTTTTTAATATTCATGAATATTAAAAAATTAATTGCCTAATAATTTATTGGAGTCACTCAAATCCTTTAACAAAAAATTTAATTAATTTTTGTCTTAATTGATATTAAATTTATATTTTGCCAAAACGAGCATATCATTCATCTAGATGTGTAGTACTACTAAGTAAGAAATGACTCCAATTGAAAATGAAACATAAATTCTAAAGTTTAAAAATATTTAAAATAAATTTTGAATGGACACAAAGAGATAAGATCTAGCTTCCATCATATATTCCACTTCTATTGAAACAAACGATGATGGGGTATATATCAAATAAACGTATTCGTTATGTGTTCTTTTGCAAATAACATATTGATTGATACATTCAATCTTTACATACGAAGCATATTGTTGCTGTTAACTAGTTCATTTATTTTTAATTGATCAAACACACGAATTCTTAACTTTGCATCTATGAACATTTTTGTTATAAGTTGCCTCTACCTCCATGTTAAGTTTTTTTGTGGGCTCTATTTAACCAAAGATAATAATAATAATAATAATTTTAATAAATATTATTGGAGTATAATTTTAATATAACAAGATTAAAGCATTGATAATACTTTATTATTATAACAACAAACTTATACATATATATATATATGTATTTCTGAATCATACACCTTTTTCAAAAATATTTGCATTTGTTTTGAACTAATCAAAATTTACATTACATAGTCCATGAGCTTGCTTTGATCCATACATTCATTTTAATAATCTAATAAATTTTAATTGCCTTTTTTCCAGCCAAGTAGTTGTTTTCTGTAGTTTGTTTCCAAAAAAATGTATAGATTCTATTAATATTTATTTTATAATTTCCAAAAACATATTAAATATTGCAGCAAGAACACATATCAATTGAATCGTAGCATATCTTATCAAGAATGAATTTTTTTAATTGAAATTTACAATGTCTTCCTTGTGTCAAACTCATATTCATCAACCTCCTTCGTAATATCACAACTTTTACATTCACACATTATGAACCATTGTTGGAAGTTCCACAAGCTTACACCTCTTGTTTACAATACATATTGATTCTTACACTTCATATAAACTATTTTACTACAATTGATTAGCAAAGTGCTCAAAAAACAAGTTTTTAAGTTCATAAAAACAAAATAATCAATTTTCACCATCAACGTTCTATCATCATCATTATCAATCTCAATATTATGATCTTTAGGATTAAATAAATCAATTCACATTTCTGTATCATGAAAGCTTCACTGTTTTTATTTGATCGTCAATGATCATTAGGAAATTTTTCTATGTGATGATTGAGTCTCATTGATAAATTTATTGACCCAATTTTTGCTCTTTGATAATTTACTTAATATATATTATAATTTGTTCTTATGTCGCATCATTTGATCCATAATGATCAATCTCTTTTTCAAAACAATTTGTCAGTGAAAATTTGACATTGTAAGTACAGTTAGCATGAAATTTTAATTCTGTATGATTTGATATCATATTTAATATAAATGTATAAATAAATAAATAAATATATAAATCTCAAGTTGTGATAATTTTGTACACTTTTTTTTTACTTTAAAATTTTTCAATGCAAATTATATTTTTTATTACTCACATTATGAATCATGTGGTGTGCTAGACAATATCAGTTTTTGAACGTGATTGAAGTTGGTTAGCTATAGTTTGTTGACTCAAATCAACATGATGTTTGCTTTTGATTTTTCTTGGAAAAATCCTCAGCTAATATAAATAATTTTATATCATATTCTTATGATAAAAATATTAAATATTTAAATAATTTTATTTGATATTATGAAACCAAATTGAAATTATATCTTACGTACATTACATTCATTATCGGAATTATTTTGTTATAAGTATATTTTTTTAACTTGTGATTTTACATTAGATTGTGAGCTGAAAAATTCAAGTATATAATTTTGAATGATATTCAATTTGAATATTGGTGTTAATATTAAAATATGTATACTATTATAATAAATTTAAAAAAGAATATAGGTCTATTGCTTATAAAAATTAACAAAAGGTTTGATATGCAATTGAAATGATGAAAGCATTTTGATTAATATCATGGTCAATAATATATTTGAATTTTTATTTATATAGTATGCTATAAAAATTGAAATTATTAATATTATATATATAAGCATAAGAAAATATATAAAAATGATATAATAGATATATCAAGAATAATTTATAATTTCAATATATATGATATTAGTACAATGTCATTTTTAATCATTTATATCAAAAATAAAAATGCGACACAATTATGCTGTGGTATAAAGAAATGTGCAGAATGTTATAATGATATATGTTGTGATATATATATATATATATATATATATATATATATATATATATATAATCATGCTTAACATTTATAAATTATGATAGATGACTTAAGCAAATTCATATACAATATAAAAATCTATTAATGTAAATTAATTTTAGAAATATAATTTAAGAAATTACAATTTATCTATCACCAATACAATTTTGAATACAAATGAGAGAGTTTATTGCATTTTATGTTATTTCGAATAATATATAATCTGATAATATTATTGAAGAATCACATTTTGTTTCTTTGATAATAATTTTCTTCAAATGAAAGATTTTGAAAAATGGAAGTAAAATATATTAGATTAGATGCAAGAAAATGTACACTTGAAATTCAGAATGTATTTGGCTTAAAAATGATATATTTGTAAGCTTTTATTATAAACACAATTTTGCTTACTTGTGAATGCTCTAACACTAAAACTATATTGGTCATGTCATTTGTGTTGATGTATGTCATATCATATAGTGTTATATTTGACTTGTGTTGCCATGAGATGTGTTTTTTTATCTTTAGTTAAGAACAAGGAAGTGTTAAGATATTTATGATTTTGACGTATGTATATTGGAAGAGATGTATCACACTATTTGATTGAAGGAAATGTTTGAGTCTAGTAGATATCAACGCAATAGTGCATCATAGTCTCTAGCACATGCTTTAGTCTACGTCTGTGATGGCATGATTTCTTTCAATTCGTGGACATATATAATTGCAAGGATGAGATTTGCTTTAGATATATTTCTCTACTCTTGAAAAAAAGAAGTTATCTACTTCCAATGAACACATCATAATCATTATATCATATCATTTCGCATGAAATGCAATCTACTTATATCATGATTGAAAAATGTTTTTATTGATGAAGATGGTCTTGAAATTTTGTTGCCTCATAGATATAAATAAAGGGGAAAAGGTACTTCATTAAGTTTCGAAGTTTGAACCTATATGTTTTCTACGGATGTTTATATAAGAAATTTCCTGAGATTGTCATTGACTTTTGACCTAATAGCATGATGATAACCTGATACATCCGGTTAATAATCCACACGAGCTAACAACAATAAAGAAGTAGAAAAAATTATCATTCTCTGTCATATACATGAATCGTAGATGGCTGTTTTCCCAATGCGTCAAGCTGTGAACTCATGATCGATAAAAAAAAGTCCAGATACTTATTCTTCTTCAACTTTCCACTGTCGGTCTAGGCCAATTTGAATATCTCGTGGCATCTTGCTCGAGGGGATGACATGACATATCATGACAAAGCACTTTCAGTTCGCGCAAATCCCGTCTTTCGTTCAAGCGCGCGAAGTCATAGGCCTATACAGAACAGTACCGGGTACAGGCAGGAAGGGCAGGAGCGAAAGCTGCAATCCTTGTGTAAGAAAATCTCACACGGAAATGTAGAGGGATCCAGGTGCCCCGGGGAAATAGATCGGGTCCTACACGAGGATTGATGTTCCCGTGAGTGATGCATTCAAGCAGACCGGACGTTCAGGTGAGGGGCGTTGGTAATTCAACAGGCAGTGCCCGTCCCCGTCCAGGTGCCGTCTGTTGTTGTCGACTCTTTCGAGAGGGTAGGACCACGAAGACCCCTTGGCTGTTCCCAGCCCGTCATCGAAATCATCGTGAATTTAGCTGTAGCGGACTCTTTCCAATTGTCAGTTATTACCCAAAATAGAAATCGTTCATGAAGCGTAGCATTAAAATTATGCGCAAGCATCACTAAATGATCATGACCCGGAAATCCAAGAATGCCAGTTCCAGAGACCAGACCCGGAGGCGAACACGTGTCATTCACGAGGTCGATGAACGAAAAGAATTCGACTAACGTCAACTCGGCTCCTCGAGTAGGGCCCATGCCCGAGCAAATGAGAGCAGCGCAATTGGAGACGACGGAGGCTTTTTCCCGAAAACGTTCCGAGCGCTAGAACCTTTAAAAGCGAAAAGAAGCAGACGATATCCATCGTAAAGGACGGACGTACACTGTTCCCGTAGTAACCAGCCACGTGTTATCCAGACACACATGGACGGAAAGCAAAAAGTCCGTCAGACGATCAGTAGCCCAGGCCAGCGCCTCCCTCACTCGCCCGGACTGACCGGCCGCAGTAGGTCTGTAACACATACGATACGGCGAACAGGAAGGCCGAAAGAAGGACGATTGATTGGCCGCGGCGGCATTTAACCAAGACAGTGATACGGCGTCTGCGTACTGTATATTGGCCCTGTACACCGAAAAGTAAGAGTACTGTGATGTAAATCGAATGTGTCCAGGACCAACGAAGGAAAGAAAAGGAAAGAAGGGAAGGGAAGAAGGGCAAGGACGGGATGGGATGGCAGGGCAAGGGAAGGGCTGGGCTGGGCTCGACCACTCTCGCTGTCTATCTGTCTGGCTGTCTCTCTCGTAACGTAGACAACACCAGCGGTAGCAGAAGCAGCAACAGCATCAGCGAGGGCGAAGGATTGCAGCTCGCACTGCACTGGACTGCACTGCGCACTCGAAGCGAGCAAAGCGAACGACAGGTAACGAAGGGATTGCAGGACAGAGGGAACGCAGGTAGGAACGCGGGCGCGAGCGAGAGAGCGAAAGAGGAGGAGACCGAGTCCCATGAGAGTAGCAAAGGCTGTTACATTGCTGTGTCTGTACCAAGCTGACCTAGCGTAGCGTAGCGTGGTTCCATAGCAGGAGCAGGAGCAGCAGCTACGAGAAGAGGAAGAGGAAAGCGGACTTGTTTCTTCGTAGATCCTGGAACGGACAGGCAGACGAGCCAGACTAGACCAGGCCCAGAGGGGGGGAGAGAGAGTTTGTCTGAGTTTTGGGTGCTGGAGTGTCGTCTCTGTTATTCGTCTGGTTCGTGCGTTTTGTGGAAGGGTGGGGAAGTGTAGTGAGAGAGTGAGTGATATAAGAGCGAATTTTTTTTTGGTGCAACTTGGCATTCGGAAGTGAAATTGCGCGTTTGCAGCGCTGGGGTTGGGCTGGAGAGTGAGAGCTGGGTGAGTGTATTGGTGAAGGACAGGAGCTTTGGTGCGCTTTGTGGAATGAGGAGTGCCCTCTGATTACTTATTCTGGTAATAGTACAATTCGTCTCGTGCGGAAGCGGCCAGGCTGGGAGGCTAATTGGGAGCTGAGCAGAGCGCAGACCTGTGCTGTATCGTGCAGAGGTCTCGACGTGTGATTGCGGTAATGTGTGCCTGTTTGAGGGTAGTAGAAGGGCGCTAGGGGATGAAGTACATGCGATTTGGATTGAGGTGATTCGGTACAAGGTTAGCTGGGGCAGGGGTTCATGAAGTCTCGGATGACAGATGGCCACGCCTTTGGCATCATTTGGCAACATGCGGAATAAGGCTGCGATAGCTACCATGGTGAGCAGGATTGTTTTGTCAAGGGGATTGCAGCATTTACAGCGGATTAGGGTATTGTGACCGGGCCAAAGGTTTGGACTGCTTCATTTGAAGCAGGTGGAGAAACTATACGAACGCTGCTGGATGACATACTGTTGAGACGAGGATTTATTTGTCTGAGCTTTAGGGTTTGGTTTCGTTCCTGAAGGTTTCTATCGTCGTGCCCGTAGAAGGTTTACGCACCTATGAGAGTTCACACACGATAATTGTGAGTAGTTCTAATGGCCGGAGTCATACCGTACCGTCAGGAATATTTTCAGGGATGGGGATGATGCAGTAATTTGATTGTCCGCGTGGATCTGGAGGGTATTTGTAAATCGCAGGCTCAAGTTGATCCGTCCGGATCTTCGTCATGTGGGTTCCACAGTAAGGTGTAAATGGTGGAATTTGTTCTTTCACGTTATCGAGACCGGTGTGCCGCTGTGGAGTCTTTGGCCTCGATTGGTACAGTCTCTGAAGGCATTCAGATTAACAACTATCCGTGTGAATTTGTTAGGATTGAACTGAAGGTCGGTGTACATTTACTTCAAGGAATTGGAAAGGGATGGCATTGCCTCATCGGCCCGAAAGTTACAGTTGCAGCGCCATTTTGGAGAAGAAGTTTAGGATAATCGGCAGTAGTTGCGACAGAAACTGGAGGCAATTTTTCGTCTGTCACTCATGAGGGTGAACAATGTGGGAGGTAGGGGGCAGGGGTTACAGTGATCCTAGTTGCATCGCGGACGCGCATTACAATGTCGCGCTCTTCATCAGCGTCTGCCTTTCACAAGTCCAAGACACTTAATGACAAATATGTACGGTGAAGCTACCTTTGCCCAACTTCATGCTCTTCTGCGTTGGAACACTGAAGCAGAACACCGAAGCACCGTTGAAAGCAATAATTTTTGCATACCTCATCTTCTTGCTCCTTAAGGCAATTGTTCTGTTGTAGTTATTTCGATGTTTCCATCCACCTGCGTGAGGACTTCGGTAACTGAGAGGACTGCTTCCGCGAGGAACCAAATGTGTAGCTTGTGGATTGTCTGCTGAAGAGTTTCATAGTTTTATTGTCACAGATATTTCAAAGGTTCCCAGTAGTTAATCCTCAGTGTCATTATCCACTGCGGAGGGAGATCCTAGTAATTTGGGATAAGGATCTGCAATAAAATACAAACGTAGGAAGTTCAAGTCAACTACCAACCTGGACTTCCACAGTATTTGGTTTTGCTTGGTCCGTCCAATCTTTCAGATTACGTGTTTATTTTTTTCACGGGATGGTCCATTGTCAAACTCCATTCCAGCAGGTTATCGTCAAGAAGAAAGCTCATGAAGGATCTTATTTTTCCTCATGTCCCTCCTACAAGTTTTTATGGTTGTCGTTCATGTCTCGCTTATTATTGATTCCAACATGTCTTCCAGCTTCTTGGAGATGAAATCGGAAAGGGAGCTTACGGGCGGGTCTATAAGGGTTTGGACTTGGAGAATGGAGACTTCGTGGCAATTAAGCAGGTTTCACTGGAGAACATTCCATCCGAAGACCTTGCAAGTATCATGGTATGTTGCTAATTGTTGACCCAGTCGATCTCAAATTTTGCTCTTATTTGCCTTCGGCCTAGAAGTTCCTTGAAGATGGTTTCTTGCTGGAGTCGACCAAGTTTAAGGTCTGTTCATTATGCTGGGTGGCAAGACCTTTGGTGTAGTCAGTACAAAGCACTGATGGATTCTGTTTCTTGTGTCGTGCAGCAAGAAATTGATCTCTTGAAGGTATGTTCATATGAGTCTTTTGATCGAATATATGATTTTCAGTTGCTTGCCTTCAGGAAGTCATTGATGTGACACTATATGATTCTTGCTAAGGTGACACATGTACTTTTGTTTCTTCGTGCAGAATCTGAATCATAAGAACATTGTCAAATACCAAGGATCTTTCAAGACCAAAACTCATCTGTACATCATCCTTGAGTAAGATCAGAAATTGATCAGTGTTTGCTTTCTAGGTTGCAGCCTTTATTGAACACCGGGAAACGCTTTAATGGTGTCACATTGTATTATCTACCCTGTAGCATCATTGTACTGTATAGTTTCGAAGAGGTTTTTGAAGCCGTAGGTGCAGTATGTGGATCCAGTAATAATTGAAATTTGGCTTATGTATGTTACCTAAGTTCAATAAATCAAGTAGTTATATTAGGGGTCACCGAAGAAGTACCCTTAGATATTCTTATGTTCCGACTCCTGTCAAATTTTACATGGAGTTCTTAATCGTTGAATCAGTGCTGTCTGATTTTATCTTGCTGTTGAAGTCTGAGTACTCACACAACAGCTTCATCTTTCTTAGGTACGTCGAAAATGGATCGCTTGCCAACATCATCAAGCCGAACAAGTTTGGTGCCTTTCCAGAATCTTTGGTGGCTGTCTATATCGCACAGGTCAGTGATCGAATCATGCTGATGAAACCCCGTTCTTCAATTCAAAACCACTCCGTGATATATCTAAGTTAACATTCGTTCAAACCTTGTTATACAAGGCTGGCGCTTTGCCTTCAAAAGTCAGGTCCGAAACTGGCTCAACGGACCTTAGACCGTTGTTTTCAGTTTTGTCTGATGATACTCATGATGTGACAACCTTTTATTTCAGTAGATACGTTTCTGAACATGTGCTGTCGTCTTCCCTCTAAGGAAGAAAATATGTATCATCTCACTAGTTAGATACCGCACCTTGTGTTACGATGTGCAATTATGGGCTTAGCGAGTGCGGAATCCGTTTGCGGTTTAGCAAATTTCCGTAGAATGTTCATCTCGCATCAGCGGTTGAACTATATCGGGCATGATAAGACATGTTCTCAGATTTGATGAGAAAGTGGCAGCATTGATGTTATGGGGTAGCTTGTTATTGTTGGAGCCTCATACGTAAGTCTTGATCTGCCTTGGAGCTTCGGTTATGACACTTTTGCGCATCTTTACTGGTTGAAGGTCTTGGAGGGCCTTGTGTATCTCCACGAACAAGGAGTTATACACAGGGATATCAAGGGTGCCAACATACTCACAACCAAGGAGGTAGGCTTCTTCTTGCTGATACCCACTTTTAAAGAAAGCTTGATGTGATTATCTAGGAATGGTTGAGGTACTCAGCTGTGAAGACTCCGATTTGTTGAAAATCTTGGTTGCCATGTCGCATATGTATCTTCAGTGTCTCTTTGACCTTAATTACTCGATACCCACCAATTGCAGGGTCTGGTGAAATTGGCGGACTTTGGAGTGGCAACGAAGCTGACAGAAGCAGACGTCAACACACATTCCGTCGTTGGAACACCATATTGGATGGCCCCTGAGGTGATTTCTTGATTCAAGATCGAGGCCAATCTTTGAATAAAGCAATTTCTCACTGCACTAGCTCAATTCGAGCGAAAGTACATCAGGCCCGATCGCTACACCAAAGCGACGAGACCTTGAAATCGTTCTTGCTAAAATTTTCAAACCTTCGTAGAGGAGCATTTTGTAAATGGTTGAAGGTTATTGATGCTAATGATGCTTACTAGATTAAATTTCGTTTTTTTTTTAGCAAAAGAGTTACAGAAATGAAATGAAGAGAAGCATGGAGTTGAAGGTCAACGAGTTTAACTAGATGCACCGTTTAAATACGACGGAGTCAAATTGAATGGCAAAACTCCGTCTTAATCAGTGTAACATTATGTCTGATGTCTCCTCGCACTTCAGAGTCATAGTTACTGGGGCTTATATAATCGTCGGTGAATGAGTTCGTAAACTATTTCTTGGTTAATACCGGGAGTCTAAAACTCATATGTGGAGAGTTCTTCGACAAGACAGATTCACCGCATCATTATTTACTAGACTCAGTAGTACTCCTTCTACTTCTACCTTTTTTCTCCAAGGATTTAAGCCTCTACGGTACCGATCAGCCAGGACGTGGGGTCTTTGGCTTCAACCTATAGCAGACACTTATTTATCAGTACATTGATTTTTTTCTGCTCATTTAGCCTGAGATTCCTGTATATTTTTCAACTAAACCTAAGTGGATTGCCTTTTTGTTTGTCGCTTGTAGGTGATTGAAATGTCGGGAGTCAGTGCTGCTTCTGACATTTGGAGCGTAGGTTGTACGGTCATTGAACTACTCACTTGTGTCCCTCCTTATTACGATCTTCAACCCATGCCTGCTCTATTCCGAATTGTGCAGGTGAGTTTGCCTGTTAATGCACTTCTTGATGAGTACCGTTTATTTATTTGGACAGTCTTTTCTTTGCGGTTACTGTGTTTGCCGTTAAAGTTTTTTCCCGATATATTATCCTGCCATGAACGCTTGAATGCCGTAAGAAATGTCTTTCGATTTTGTTCGATTGTCTGTAAGTGGACAAATGGGCATGATTTCTTAATTGGTGCAGGATGACCATCCTCCAATTCCTGAGCACGTCTCAGCTGCAATCACTGACTTCCTACACAAATGTTTCAAGAAGGTATGCGAAGAAATATTAGTGAAGCCAGTCTTTCATGTTCCTGAAGTTCGTTTTTTTTGGGGCTTGTCGCTGTCAGTTGTCATACAGAGTTTTCGATAATTATCATAGTGTTATCTTCAGGTTTCATTTAGCATACTTTGAAAGGGTCGTTGATGAACTGGGTTCTGTCTTGAAGTAGATATAGTTTGTGGTATAGTTTAAAGCGCAGCTGAAGAAAGAAATGAAGTTTCCATAAGCATTTGGATTTTTAACTGGATGCAAAGCAGAGGCCTGATGCAAAAGTCCTTGCGCATTCTTGGATTTGCAGTTCAAGGCGTGCTTATATGTGCGAGGTTTTCTTATTCTCTCTGTTCCTACTCACCTATATCTGAAGCATTTGCTCTCTTTACCAGGATGCTAAGCTGAGGCCTGATGCGAGATCCCTTCTGACGCACCCCTGGATTCGCAACTCAAGGCGGGCGCTGAAGAGTTCTTTAGAGCGAACCGGGGGAAGAATCAAGTAATTCCTGAAAATGACTTTAGATCTGTAACCTTGCCATGACGATGATTGTTGAATATGGACAGCTCCCCTCTACTCATTGTTGAGGGTGAATTTTTACTCCATTGAAATAGCCGTTGAGCAGTATCGTCGGCAAAAAATTCACCAAAAGTTTAGAGCTCTATTCAAAAGCTATTTACCACTTGTGAGTCATTACCGTGCAGTCTGGTAGTCACTGCTACAGTTCTAGCTTCCCTTTCAAACCGTAAACTTGGTCCTTCGCTATTTATAACTTTTTTCAAAATGTAATTAGCGAAGATGCGCTTCTGAAATGTAATTAGCAAAGATACGTGTTCCGGGTCTAATGAAAAGAATCACATTGTTGGAAGCAAAGCGGTAATGTTGTAATCTGAATGCAGAGCCATACCACGGGATGTGTCTACGGTAGTTGAGAGATCAATTGAAGATGGAGAAAAGGAGGACGACACCAGACCGGCTTCAGAAGAAACCCCTTCAACAAGGGACCTGTTTGATTCTGGTTCGGTACGTTCGCTGCTCACAACTTGTAGTGTGCACTCGCAAAAAGTGTCTCAAAAAGTTGAAAGGACTTGCTGGGAATGTGGGCATTATCCTTATAGTGAGGTTGTTACATCATGCTCATCTATTTTGCAGGATGATGAGCTGAAAAGTAATTCTCCTTCAACAAGCTCTGAGACAGCTAACAGCAGCCAGAAGAACAATATTTCAAGCCAAAATGGTCGCAGGCGGATGCAGCGAGTAGTTACGAGTAACGGTACTGGGCAGCTCGAATCAAGTATCATTCAACAACAATCATTACTAAATGCTGTTGACAGATTATCTACATCTAACAATTCCGAATTTGAGGAGTCCTCTAAAGCCAAACGTACTTCAAGCAATGCTCAGGCATCACCAGAGTTATCAGGAGTGTCAGAAACGTTCATTGAGGATGTCTCACAGGGTGCGGATGACCTGGGAAGTTTCGATGTTAGAAGGAGAAAGAATGAATGGGTCACCTCTCGGGGACCACATAAGACTAGTAGTTCTACAACGACTCGTGCAGATCTTGGTGAAGAGGTGAATGGTCCACTTGACTCATGCAGTGATGGATCCAAGCTGATGGAAAGATCCGTAAGACCTGAGTCAAATGGTTCTCATCATACTCCACAGGTCCGTCAAAAATATTTTGCCAGTAACAATGTCATGATAAAAAGAACCTCAGCAGGAGAACTTTGAGCAGTTCAAATCTAGTTGATTATAACAGACAGCGCAATTGCTGAATCCATTATACTCTCTTTCGCGCTCATTCCTGATGAGTAGTACACGATCAGCTACCTGAATCCTTTTCTCCTGATTGGGTCTTGTCCGCAGGCGGGCAAGCTGAGTACGCCTTCTTCGTTGACTCGGTTCGCCGACACACCAGCAGACGGTATGATTGATGACCTTTTTGGCGACGAATCCTTTACGCCTATTAATAGTTCTCAAGTTGATGGAGCCCATACACATACCCCAGGAGCAATGTCACAGAGTTCAGTTTCAAAGGGAGGCTCTGTTACTTCTACGGACGGTGTGGGGGGAAATGTGTTTGCTGCTAAACTGAAGCTCAGAATGGCGCAAAAGAAGGTTGAGGGTGAAGCTGCTGGGTCTGCCAAGAAGGACCTCTTCCAGACCATGATTGATGTTGTTGAAGACGATGAGTCTATTGATATCCCTCACTTGGTGAGTTTATTTCCGAAATGGTATAATAAATGCACAAACTGCCTGCACTTCCCATGAATGCAGCTGTTGTAGTTAGAAGCCCGGGAGTTGACATTTTAGCTTCAGGAAGATGAAGATTATATATTCTATATGACCTATCTGACATTCAGCATGCACGTGTGAAGTTGTGATAAAATTGTTGCCACCTAGTTTTGTTCTTGATGTTTCTCTGTGGTGGAGTTATAGTCTGAGATCGTGTTCTCCTTTATAACAGGGTTTTGACAATGAAAAAGGCAGAGACTTTCTCGCTAAACAGGTATGGGGAAAATACATTCAATTCTGGTTTTTGTCTTCGTTTCGAAGCATGCGTCGTTCGAGTCCTTGTCTCGAAATACTGTATAGCTTACACTCTGTGAGTCTACGGCTGCGTTATGCAGACAATTAGCAAGTTATCTTTGGAAAATTGGTGCATTCACTTTATGAAGAAATACAGACAGAATAATCAGTGGGTATTCTGTGTGTCTTCTCCATAGCATATGGAGATAACTCGTCTCGTGAATTTGCTGAAACCTGAGGAACCAGAAGAATCGATCATATCAGCTTGTCAGAATCTTGTAACAATATTTCGTGACTATCCTGAGCAAAAAGCACATCTCATCAGTCAGCATGGTATCATACCGCTGATGGATATGCTTGACGTCAACAATAACAGGGTATGTTCACTTTTGCCTCCTCTTAGAGATTGTCTTAGCTTAATCGGTCTCTGTTTTCGGTTGAGTGGCATCAATCGGATTTTCTGATTCCAGTTCTGTTCAAAGGCAAATTCAGATTTCATGGTCACGCAATTCTGTGTAATTAATATTTTGGATACTAGCAACAAAGGGATAGAGTCCCTAATCGCACTTTAAGCTTATGGGTTTGGGTTGACCAAATAGCGGCCGTGCATTTCGAACAAGTATCCAATAATTTTGCACTTAACGGTCCCATCTTCACCTGCTCTTGGTTGGAAACCCGACAGGAAAGATCTCGTCTTGCTCGTCCCAAAAATATTTATGTAGATATTCACTCTAACGGAACAATCTTTTAGATACCACATAACTATCAACTCTTTTGGGTTTTACTGGGCCAGCTTATAAGTGTTCGTAATCCTTAACACTTTTTAACGTCTTCTTTGGCTCATAACAGGTTATTCATGCGGTGCTGCTGTTGATTAATCAAATCATTAGAGACAACGTGAACTATCAGGAAAATGCTTGTCTCGCTGGCCTGGTAAGTCCTTATCCACCACATTGTGTATCTCATCTGCACCTGAATTCATTGTCGTGTGGTAAAGACACTAACTGTGGTCAATGAGCTTGCCTCCGCTGTCTTTGAACTGGAGTTTGTGAAATTATTTGGAAAGTTGTGAGTGTTCCCTTTTGGGATTTCTAATTAGAGTTCTTATGTTAATATCGGCATTTCCTGCTATTTACAATCTAAATTTTATCTCCTGGTATTCACTGTCAAAATGTAGTCTTGCTTAGCATACGATATTTCTAACTTCGTGTATCACTAGTAATTCTTTTTTAAGTTTGTTGTCATGTTGTCGCATTTGTCTTCACGAAATTCTACAGTAGTCATATTACATGTAGTTCAGATGATGAGGTAACCACGTGGCCTATTGTGATTTGCAGATTCCGGTCATAATAAACTTTGCTGCGCCTGATCGATCAAGAGAGATGCGTATGCAGGCTGCTAGTTTTATACAGCAGATATGTCTTACAAGGTAACAAATTTAACTTCATACTTTTCCGGTTTACTAATAGAAGATGCAACGCAGTCACTTAATAGTGAGTCTTCTAATGTCTTCCTACTCTCATGTGATATATTGGTGTTTTTCCCAGCTCTACGACATTGCAGATGTTCATTGCATGCAGAGGATTGCCTGTGCTTGTGAGCTTCCTGGATCCAGATTACACGAAGTGTCGGTAAAATCTCAATACTACTTGTTTCTCATGTCTAGTTAATTAAACAAGACTACTTGTTTCTCATGTCTAGTTAATTAAACAAGAAACAATACATGCCGGCTTTTGTATCGTAATTCGGATTGGGTTCTCAATTTTTCGGAGCTCCTGATGCCTATGTCGTTGCCAATGTTTCTTAACTTCTGAATTTTGTGGATGTAGAGAGATGGTTCATCTAGCTATCGACGCCATGTGGCAAGTATTCCAACTACAGAATTCAAATCTCAAGAACGACTTTTGTAAAATCTTTGCCAAAAGTGGTGTCTTGGTACGTCTTGTCAACACTCTCTACAGCTTGAATGAAGCGACTCGTCTTGCCACGTCTGGAGTCGGAACTGTAGGAAATCTTGCCATTACTGCACCTTCGGCTCCTGCTCCCGGAGTTTTACTTCGGACACGGTCTGGACCTTTGGAACAGTCTCGAACGACGCAAGCTGAGAGCTTCAAGCCTCGGTCAGGGCAACTAGACCCTACTCGTGTCCGTGCCGGGTACATGGAGCAACATCGGCAAATAACTGGGTTAATAGAGTCTGCTCGACCAAAGTCACCGCAGCCACACAAATCAGCTGGTCTTCCAGAATACCTACGACATCTCCCTGGGCAGTTAGATCAAGCTCGTCTACACGCTGATTCGACAAGAGATCAAGGTGGGCATGAAATTGGTTGGCATTCACCTGGCCGATCAAGGCCATTTTCTGGTGACAGAGACTTTGATGTCGGCCAAGTAGAGACTGTTCGATCGGATGTAGAACAAGGTCGCCCATTATTAGGAAGAGAAGAATTTGCTCGAGTTCCTTTGACTGACCCGTCGTGGTATAATTCTCGATTTGGAAATGGTTTGGAACATGGTCACCATGAGGTTCAACCTCTTTTGAGCCTCTTGGAGAAGGAACCTCCTTCTAGAACAGCAGAGTATTATCGGCATATTCCGTCTGGTGCATTTGAGCGCTCTGACAGCGCGTTGCCATTGTTGTTACACCATGCCGCGGCACTACGGAAAGTAAACGGGAAGGTAGATGCGCACATTGCACAACATGCAGGTACCATTTCTTTCTTTGGAAGGCGAATTATTACTTCCAATTTTGTAATTAGTGGTGTTCTTTATTTGTTACGATATATCTGTCAAGTTGGTTACGATATTCGATCCTTTTGAGGATCGAATACGTGCAAGCTTGAACGTTTGGACTTCAGATGTTCGTAACTGCGAGTGTTCATTTCTCTTAAATGTACAGTAAATCCTGAAGAAAAGTGGTGAAAAATGTCTAATCCGGAGTGGGTCTCTGTGCAAGCCAGCGAAGAGATTTATCTCCTTACAACCATCGTCTCCACTCTCTTTCGGATTTCTTCAGAGTTCAGATCTGTTTACAGGGTTTTGTTATATGCGCAGATAGTGAAAAGCAAAATGGCATGATAGAGCACATACCGGGGGGTCTTCCATCGAAACCAGTATGGAATGGGGCAACTACTCAATCACCTTCTAAACTGTCGCCTACTCCATCCGCCCACTTATCATCGCATTATGCCACCGGATTGTCTAATTATAGTGACACCCCAGCTTCCTCTTCGGGAACAGCTTCGCAGAGAGATTCTGGTCATCTTTCAACTTCAGGAGCACCAAGTTCCAAACCAGGAAGTAGTTCGTCCCCGGGACTGCTCTCCAGAACGATGTCTACATTGAATGCAGATGTTACAGGATTTTATGTTGCAAGAGTGGCTGATCTTTTATTGGAATTTTCGAAAGCTGATACGACAGTGAAGTCACACATGTGCAGTGTCAACCTGTTGATTCGACTTTTCCAAATGCTCAACAAGCTGGAGCCTGCCATTCTTGTTAAAGTGAGTACATCATATCTGTAGGTTTTTCTAATGCTGACACGGGTATACCATTTGTATTATCACAATGCCCTTCGACGTCAGTGGATGTACTTTCAACATTTGTAACCAAAAGTCTCTCAGCAGTGTGGTTTCGATTTGTTTAAAGAGAAGCAATTGAGAGAGGAATCAGGGTCACGAGATATCCATCAGTGACTCCTTATCAGTGCCCCGTCATGTTTCTGATTATAAGGCCAATGGATTCTAATTTTCTCGTGGTCGCCTTCCAGTTCCCCTTGTGTGCACGTTGTTTTATAGGAAACCTAAAAATGAGCTGTTTTGGTAGATACTCGGTTAAATTTTTCCAGGACTGTGAATTGGCCTCAAATATTGATGTAAATGCACTTGTCGCTAAAATGTGGTATTTGATCACAGATACTGAAATGTATCAAGGAGCTTTCTACTGATCCCTTCACTTTAGAATATTTGCAACGCGCTGATGCCATGAAGCATCTGGTTCCATTTCTAGAAGCTCGAGAAGGTTCTTTTGTTCCTCAGATTCATAATCAGGTGAAATGCCTTTCTATTCTCTCCTTTCGATCATCCGTTGTATACCTAGATGTGGCTGGGATACCGTGGATTTTGTTGTTTTTTGTTGTTTGGTATTTCGTTGACTTGTGGAAAGCTATCTCGCCAACCCTCCACATTTCGACATATGGTAATTCGAACAAGTTTAGATACCTTGTACTGTAATCTATAGCGCTATGAATTTTAAGCCGCTTTTGGAGATGAAGTTCTTTTGTCTGTTCCTCAATTGAAAGACACCTTAAATTTCTTTTCTTCCCTCGGAGACAGAATTGCTCTGCGAATATTAAATACTATGCTACGATCCCATCTTCAGGTTTTGAATGCCCTGTACAACTTGTGCAAAATCAACAAAAGGCGCCAGGAGCAGGCTGCTGAAAGTGACATCATTGTCCACTTGATGTATTTTATCAAAGAAAATTCCCCCCTCAAGCAATTTGCTCTCCCTCTTCTTTGTGATATGGCTCATGCCTCTCGATACACAAGGGAAAAACTAAGAGTCCATAGGGGGCTGGAGGTGTATTTGAGTCTTCTCAATGATGAATATTGGGCGGTTACTGCCTTAGACTCCTTAGCGGTCTGTCTTGCTCATGACAACGAACAGCGCAAGGTGGAGACGGCCTTGCTGAAGAAGGAAGCTGTGCAAAAGCTGGTGACTTTTTTCCAAAATTGTTCCGAGCCATCTTTTGTGGATATTTTGGAGCCTTTCCTTAAGATCATCACGTAAGCGGTCTCATGCTGTTATTTTCGATTATTCATGTGAGGTTTTATGTTTCTTTGCTTTCAAATCTGTATATTATGTCTAATCTCTCATCATCGACATGCGTTGTTTCTTCTTCAATTGTTACTATCTCTGTGCAGCAGGGGATAGTGACATTAAATGTGTTTCCTTTGGCAGCAAATAGGCCAAATGAATTTGTACATTAAAGGGCATCTAGTGGACACGCTTTTGAGGACAAAAAATAAATGCTTGCTGTAGATTCAAATGTGGACCATGGCTGAAGGCAATCTATCTCTGTCAGAGTAGCTTTATGTCCTGAAGCAAACGAGCATGCCAACGTTTGCTGTGATCGCTGACATGGTGGCCCTCGATGAACATCAGGAAGAAACTATTTCTCTGGTATGCTGTCCAAACCGGGTCACAGCGTTCCTTTGTGACTAATTGATGATTATTGTGATCGCAGGAAATCCGTAAGATTGAACACCGCTTTGGCTGTGTCAGGCCTTACTCCACTGCTAGTGGGAAAGCTTGATCACAAGGAGGCTATTGCTCGCCTGAATCTTCTAAAGTTAATCAAGGTTTGCACTTGATCTTGTTCCATTCAGTCGATAGTTGCTCGCAGGAACCAAACGGAAGCCCAGCTTATGATGGCCTCAAGAGATCAAAAGAAAGTCGTAGGTTTAGTATGGAGGGCATGCCCAATATTGGTGAAAATGTGACTGTTATCATCGCATAGGAGACTATCGGATGTTGCTATCAACCCTTTGGTGTCACTCTTGGCTTGGATTGCGTACCCTTCAATTTAGATCACGAACGATGTGATCCTGATGAGGGGCTGATTGAATTTGAGTTTCTTGCTTGCAACATTGAGTGCCACCTAACTAGGTTCCCTTCTTGAGTTGCAGGCGGTTTATGAACACCACCCTAGGCCGAAGCAATTGATTGTTGAGCATGATTTGCCCATGAAGCTTCGCAAATTAATCGAAGAACGTCGCGATGGAGAACGTTCCGGTGGTGGTCAAGTACTTGTTAAACAGATGGCCACGGCTCTGCTCAAAGCTCTTCACATAAACACTGTTCTATAGCTTTGTGTTGGTCAAGTTTCAATATATAGAACTCATTCCTCTCTCACCCTTGGAGCCGGCCTCAGTCTATCATTTTCTGCTATGGGTTAAACCTGGTCTAAACTCTAGTTGTTGACCCATTCCACAGTTGCATGCTCCTTTACTCAAGGTTGTACTATCTACTCTCTAGACCGTTTCATTATTTCGAATAAATCGTCGACATGTTCAAGCTCTTGTTTGTCAACGATGAAGGAAACACTTGACAGACATTGGAGTTCTTAGAAGGAACTTAAACTTTAGGAAGACACATCTGGTGACTTGTAGTCATTATTAGTAATGAGGGTGGGCGGAAGCATTGTGCCATAGATAGTGCACTATTCATTGTATGATCTTATGGATACATGAGTGCAAATGTTTAATGAAGCCCGTATGGGCAGTGCAAAAGTTCCTAAAGAAGCCATGTCTTTGGTGGGATTTCCTATGATGATTGAGTTGGTGTGGACCAGCTTTGTTTAAACTGCCAATATGTTTGTCCTTTAAATGAATCTTGGGAGATCCTGAGTTACTGAAACTCCTTTTCTGGGTTTGGCTTTGATTATTTCATAACCTAAAGATTGTTGACATGAAGAAGCTTTTCTCATACAATGTCGACAGTTCTTTGGTTAAAATTGTGTCTGACCTTGGGTTAGACATGTGAAGGCTATGAATTGTTTTGGGTCCCTTGCACCTGCTCTTGACTGTTACAACTTTGTATTCTTTGCAACTTTTTCCCTTTATTCGTCTTCTCTATGTAATTAAGTATACTCACTGTTTAAAAGTTTCAGTACGTCATGTCGGATTTATTTAGGTCCACATGCTGCTTAATTGTAATTTATGCTCAAGGGACTGGTCGTGCCTTTCGCAGGTACCGTGTATCAGCGTAGAGAATCTTCGATTCTGGTGGAAAATCAATGGCTTCCGGGCCTTGTTTCTCTTCTTCGTGTTCATCGTCTCTGGACGAGAGGTCAATCTTGACCTTTATCCCAGCTATTGCGTTCTCTCGTACTTCTGTTCTTGTTCTTCTCGCTAACTAGCTTGACTGCAGATTAAAATAAAAAATTTTCTGTCTGTCAGTTGCGTGTCGTGAGAACTGTAACATTTAGGAGTTCATGATTAGTTTTATTCAATATAGCTTGCATTCTGTGGAATCTTTCCTTCTATTTAACTCACATGATTTTTATTTTCTAAATTTCCAGCAGTTTGATGTCTTTTTGTAAGAATTATAATGGAGCGTGGTTTCCCCGCTTTTCTCGCTCCTGTTTCCTTACTTCAATTGGGATTTGATATGGGATACGTTTAGAGAAGTGAGATTCCTACTTGTCATCACCACACTTGAGCTGAGAGTGGTGAATTTGTAGCTCGATAGTAGCTCAAAGAGATCAAACTGACTGGTCTAGACTGCTAAATTTCTCACTTGTTTCAGGCAGTGTGGCAGGAACCAAGTATTTAATAAACGAAGCCATGTAATGGTGCCAGCATACCCAGGTTTGAAGAGTCAGGTAATGTTATCCTTCACCTTGTGTATTTTTGTAGACATTTTTCAAGTCTGGTTTAGCTGTTTTCGACTATATATGACAACGTTGACAATTAGACCTCCAGTCAAGAGAATGCGATGCTCTTCTAAATGATGTTGTCGTGTTGTCACTGAATCTGTTTCTGCATCAGGACGACTCACCGGGCTGACATGGATTTTTAGTTCTGAACTGGTTCCCTTCATTCCTTTTGAAATTGTGAGCTCTTCCTGTGTGGCCGCTGATCGGTGTCTAAGTTTCTGTAATGGAAATCAAACTACCAAGCCATGTATGTTCGCCCTCACCTCTTTTATGGATTAAGCGGGTCTTCTGATCTAACAGCGAGTTCCTTCTACATCCATTTGAACGGATGAGTGGGTTGCATATGCTGGTCTATTAAGACTACAACAGTCCAGGCTGTGGGTATAATGCCAAAAGTTGCAATATTATCGGACATGTTCTTATTTCCTAGCAAATATGGCGTGTCGTCCCGCGAACGAACATCACCTTACATGATGGTTCTAAAACTTGTCCTGTGGAGTAATGCTTTTCTGTTGACAGTTGGATCGAACTGGACGTGTTTTGAATCTTTTGCTTTCTTTCGGATGCCATATCAGCTACGCGACACGGACGTTACCTTTGCTAAGTGGGAAAAGCTGGAAAATGTATCGAAATAACTAGAATCTGCGCAAGTCCACTCCCCTTATTTGATAGTGTTCAGGAGACCTTTTCTGCTAAGAACATTGATCAACTCTCTCCTGGAGGTTTGGACTGCTCTGGGGACATCCAACCTGCGTCATCCTGCGTGGAATTAAATACGGATTCCAGCTCACTCCCTGCGATTCATGTTTGAGCGGGAATTCCATTTGGAAATACTTCAGCAATGTTAACAAATCATCGGAAACTTTATGTATGCAACTGTCGTCGGCTTAGGATCTCTGTAGTCAGGAGCGAAGAAGATAGGGTAGGGTATCTGGGTCGTTGGGTCGTCGTTTAACGACGAAACAGGTTTGGGTAATTACGGAAGCTCTTGCAGAGGTCGATACTTAACCTACATGAGAATTGTAGACGTAATGACCATGTTGCAAGTATGTGTGGCCGGCCGAGAGCAGTGTGAAAAGCAGTAGCCTTTTCTTAACATAATCCAATGTGTGAAGCAAAGATTATACGTTATAGCGGCTGAGAGATACTGGTGTGAAAACGAAGTTTGAAGTGTGCAGCAAACCCTGTCCATTTTCTCCAAACTTCTGAGGCGGGAACTTGACTGCTTTTGTGCGAAGTACTAGTATGTAAGAAGATGGTGCCATGCCTGTCCAAACTTTTGTATACATCGGAGACTAGATAACATGGCAACATACATACGTGTATCATAGCAATATACATAAAGATCTGAAATCCATGGGCTTGAATTGCGGGTTAAAGTGAAACTATTTATTTTTGAGGTAATTCTTCGACTCTTCTGACCCAAGAACGATCCAGACTTTACGCGGACGAAGAAAAGAGGAAAGAAGAAGTTATCTCTTTCATCGACTCCACTAGCCACGTCACCCGTGTGGACTTGATAATGCAACGTGCAAAACCAAATACACAACTTACGCACAACTAACTGTTCCCCTAAGTATGAAGAATGTAAACTGAGATCCCACGGAAATTTGAACCCGCAATAATATTATATCGGAGAGCCTATGCCCAACGGCTGTCTTTCTTAGTATAACTACCATGCCTTTTTCATCCAGAAGGATGAAAGTGTGAAACCGAGAGATCTCGATATTAGTCTGAATGAACTCTTCATCTTTGGGGCTACAGGAGGAAAAAGAATTATGAAAAACAGCAATAATGTGGGCAAGGTTGTCAGAATTTGCAAGCTATTCCAACATTGGTAGTGGTTTCAAAAGTCGAACAAGAATGAATACCACTTATAAGAGTGAAATCGACTTCCTATAGTAATGGTGAATCAATCCATAGTGGGTTCATCAAATACAATTCTTGTAACATATGAAAACCAAAAAACGTTCATGCATTAAGGAAGAAGGTACATTTACAATTTTACTTCTAACGTAAATATCAAGTAGATGTCTCTGGTAAAGTTGAAAAGATGACAAAATGTGCACAAAATGATAGCTTTTGCCGTCATCACATTCCTTTTGTTTAGCTTCGATAACGGATCCAATGAGACAAGGTAGAAACGATTAATCTAAAGATGTTTGCTGGATGAAAAAGACAAAAATTTGTATGTAGTAGAAGTAGTAAAGAAAGCACATGAAGGTTAAATCAAAGCAGGGTTACACTCAGTTTTATTGGGCAAAAAAATGTCCTAGTTTGGGGAGGTAGAGAGAAGGAGCAACTTTGACAAAATATAGCTCACATCTATCATTATTTTTACTAAATCAACTGAAACAACAATAAGGGTTAAGCACAATCTTCTAACGTGTTGTGACTAAATATGAACAATATAACAATAAGGAGATGCAACAATTAAAACCAAAAATGAAGTACGTAAACACTATTTTCTACTAAAGTTAAAAATTGACAAGAGATATATAGAAACCATGGACAATTGATTCATTAGAGAGTTGAGCTAGGGTTGAAAGAGTTTGAAGAGTTACTGATGTCTTTCCAAACATTCAACATTGAATTGCAAATATATTACAAAACTATGAAATATGTATTTGCAAAGTTTTGACAATCAAATTGCAAGTGTACTTAAGGTAAAGTTGCATATATAATGTAAGGATAAGAATCAAGATCTCATATACTCTTGTTGCAAGGAATTAACTATCAAACTGCAAATGTAGTTATGGTAAAATGTAAGCAAGAAAACTTTGTTCTTGAAAACAAACTTCAATTTGCTTGCAATGTATCGTAGCTTTGTGTATTTGTGCTTTTTAATTTATTTGACAAGATCAAAACTTGAATCAGAACCATCCATTTGTTACTCTACGGCTTAAATTCAGTTTCAAAGTTGTCCGAAAAACTCAAAGCAATGAACATAGAGCTTTGTTACCACCTTTTACATTCTTTCTCATGCAAAATGTCCTCCTATAATCATTACAGAAATCAATGCCTATATATTTATAAGTCTTCATTTCTTCTAATAGTAGATCTTTGTAAAAGAAGTAGAACTTGGATCTAGTGCCCACTATCATGAACTTCTATATGTATATAATTCCAATACCTTGACCTTCTACATCTATGAGAGGTAAAAATTGAAACATGAGGAAAGTAGCAACAACGCCCTTTCTGCTTGTTGACTTTCATGTTTAAGATTTATCCTTTCCAAATCCTTACATGTATCATTTGTTAATTTTTTGAGTTGAGTCGTCATCTCTGCTTTAGAATATAAGCCAACAATTCCTTCAAAATGTGGCATTGATAAAGCGTCGGAAAAGAAATAAAAATTTTTAGCAAAAGAAATCAAAGACTTGGGAATATGACGTTGAGTTTGATCAATAAACTTAAGTATAATGACACGAATATGGATTCAAGTGTTTCCAATATAAAAAAGTTGAATCAAAGCCAAAATATGAGCATGAAGTGATTCAACTAAGAATTTGGTGAAAACACTCATAACCTTTTCATTCTACATTTTAGATAGACCTGAAATTTTCAAATTCATTTTTGAGCAAATTGATTTGCAATGATCAATATCAAATATCACATAATTACCATTTTTCAACTTACATATTATTCTGTGACCTCTTCAACTTTCAGATTTGAGTGTGGGCAAGGCATAATGTAACATTTGTAGCTTGAATTCAAATTGGAGCTTTTCCACTTCTTCAAAAACCGCTTGCACAAGGATTTTGTCTTGAGTAGTCATCATGTAACCAACTTCATAGAATCTATAATTTCACATATGTAACAAGGTGTTAAAATGCAGTTTTATCAATTTCATGTGAA